GGCCCTGGGGCCGGCGCCTCCAGTGCGCCACGCGCCGGGGGTGGGGCCGGCCCAGGTTGTCGGCGGGCACACACAAATGCCCCAGCGGGCGCCCTGGCACCCGTGGGCACCGCGTTGGGGACCACTTCCTTACTGACTGCCTAAGGCCTTGTCTACACTTACTGAGAGATCAGTAAAGACTCGCTGAATCGGCCTCCATTGACTCGGGTACTCCACCGGAGTGAGAACAGTAAGGGAGTGAGCAGGAGAGATTCTCCCGCAGTGGAGACGCCGCAGTAAGTCACACTATGCAAGGTCCACAGCAGCTGTGCTAGTCACCTAGCTGGAGCTGCGTACCTTAGCTCGACGTTGCCCCCAGTGTAGACCTGGCCTAAGAGCCCCCATTCATGTTTTGGGCCAAGTATCGCCCCTTCACAACGTAAGCTACAAAAGGTTTGCTTGGATGTAACTGAGAACTGAACTGGATCCGTTAATGTCTCTGAAACACTTTCTTTGGCAGTTTCAGGCTTATCCCAAATGGGAGCCTGGGGGAGTAAGATCACCTTGTGCCCAGGTGGCTGGATTGGTAGGTAGGAGACTTAGTGCGTCTCCACTGCAGGGTTTAACTCGAAATAAGCTATGCAAATTGAGTTGTGCCAATTGCGTATTTGATTTTGAAATAGCTTATTTCGAAACAGGGAGCATCTACACAGCGCTTATTTCAAAATCGAGCGCTCTTCCTCCAACTTCCCTTACTCCTTGTACAATGAGGGGTACAGGAGTCAGACTAAGAAGTCCTCCAGCTTGACAGTATTTTGACACTGTTTTGAAATAACTGCCTGCTGTGTCGATGTGGACTAAGTTATTTTGAAATTGTGTTGCAGTGTAGACATACCCTGAGATCCAGTTCTCAGCCAAAAGCTTTGCTGTGTAACCTTGAGCAAGTCTCTTCCTGGCTTCCCCATCTGTACCTTTCCACCCAGAGCCAGGAGGCTAAAATCCATTTATGACTGTGAAACATTCAGTTACTGCCCTGAGGAGAACTAAGCAAGTCTGTAGATAGATCGGTGTTACTGGAGAACAGGGAATGTGGTTAAAGAAGGCCTTCACATTCATATGGCTTTCAGAAGCAATGTTGGCATTGCTGTGGTGGCTTTAGCTTAGTGTATCAAATCACGTCTTGCTTCATGGGCCTCCCATTTCCAGTGCTGCTCATCTGATTCCCCCTTCGGGGCATCAGCTGACAGCGAATCTGGAGAAAATTTCCAGACCTGGATCTCATTGGCTGTCAGAGGTGCATGGAGTTGGTGCTTAAGTGGGAGGCCGAGGAAGAAAAGAGAATTTGGGATTAGTCTGGAGTCATTTGGAAGGAGGGCAGGACTGTGGATGTTCCTTCTAGTGAATAATGAGTAGCCCTGTGGCACCTTAGGGTGCGTCTACACTGCACCGTTATTCCAGAAAAACAATATTAGCATCCACACAGCAACTGCGTTATTTCAAAAGAAAATCGAAATAACAGAGGGATTTTTCCGATGTTGGTAAACCTCATTCCATGAGGATTACGGCCTCTTCCAAAAAAGCTTTTTCGGAAGAGGGTGTGTGTGGATACTCCACTGCTGCTATATCAAAATAGCTCCTCCCTAGGGCCATTCTAAAGTTATTCCTCCCCAGTGCCTCCTCATGTTAGGAGTAGTCTCGTGGCACCTGTAGGCACCATAAGTCTACACTGCAAGCTTATTTCAGAAAAAGCTATTCTGGAAGATATCTTCCAGAATAGCTTTTTCTGAAATAAGCTTGCAGTGTAGACTTATGGTGCCTACAGGTGCCACGAGACTACTCCTAACATGGCTACCCCTGAGAGTTTTAGTGAATGTCATTTTCACAGCAAGGCAAAGTTTCAGAACTGGCAAAACTGGAGCAAGGGAAATTAGTCAAGAAGAGAAAATCAGAAAGCAAAACACATCGAGGGCCTAGTGGAATGGGCTTATAGAGACTCTTAATTGTAGGTGACTTGTTCAAATCCAGCCCAAGTTAATAGTCACTGTGAGGGTATGTCTACACTACCACTCTAGTTCGAACTAGGGTGGTAATGTAGGCAACCGGAGTTGCGAATGAAGCCCGGGATTTGAATTTCCCGGGCTTCATTTGCAACTCCGGTTGCCTACATTACCACCCTAGTTCGAACTAGGGTGGTAATGTAGGCAACCGGAGTTGCGAATGAAGCCCGGGATTTGAATTTCCCGGGCTTCATTTGCAACTCCGGTTGCCTACATTACCACCCTAGTTCGAACTAGGGTGGTAATGTAGGCAACCGGAGTTGCGAATGAAGCCCGGGATTTGAATTTCCCGGGCTTCATTTGCAACTCCGGTTGCCTACATTACCACCCTAGTTCGAACTAGGGTGGTAGTGTAGACATACCCAGAGTGTTTACTTCATGAAGGCTCTTCACTGACCTATGTGAATGAGGTTTGGGGTCTTTAGTGCATTCTGAACGTATCGACAGGCTGTATTATAAAAAGCACCACCATTTTTGGCACTAATTGGCTCCCTTATTGACTGAATGAGAGGCAGAGACTGACCTGTGCTGAGAAATGGTCCAAGTTGAGGTGCTCTGACAGTACGCTCCAGCACTCCCCTGGATGAGTTAGTTCTGTAGAAAAACAGAGACCTTTGGTCACCAGGACTGTCAGGCTGGTATTTCTGACAAACAGGGAATCTTCACAGATGAAGCAAAAGCCCTGCAGTTCAACTTAGTCCTGGAGCAAGCCTGGCAGAGCCGTTATTTACTTTTATGTTCCTGCTTCTGAAAATATTTCTCAATCCAACCAGGTTGTGGAAATGAGAGAAATCAGCCCCACCTTGGCCAATGGAGACCACCAACCTGGCTTGGAGAGCCAGGGGCGGGCGGCTTCCATGCCGCGTCTGGCCGCCGAAACTCAGGTGAGGGAGGGAGGCTTTACTGGCAATGGAAAACTTACAGTAAGTCAAGCATTCGACACCTTTTCTCTTCTTGTCCATGTCATGTCGTTTTTTCAAAGTGACCGGTGGGTTGTTTGTTTCTTTAAGAGATAACAATAAAGCTGGAGGCTCCACAATGTGACCAGCCTTTGTGCTTTTGATCATTGGGATGCTGTGTGGACAACGCTGTGCTCCATCCCTATATACAGCCAGCAAAAAGAAATCCAGCTCCCTGGGCAAAACACTTCATTTAATCTGATTTCTGTCTAGCTGAAAATATATGTTCCCAATGACAGGGAGTCACGCTGTAGTTGGCAGAGGTGGATAACCATGCATAGATATGCATAGATTGCTGCCCTGCGTGCATATCGATAGCGCTGGGAATAAAATAAGCAGCAGGTTTCTCTTTGAGTCTGTATGTATATGAATTGTGCTGTGCACTCTCCCACCCCGAAGGGTTGCATTTCCTTTGCCTTTCTCCTCCGCCACTCACCCAGGAGGCTTAGCGCTGTTTGGTGGGTGGCTAATAAGATGCTTGGGACTTTACTTCCTTTGCTTATCTGATAACGCCTTGCAAGGAAGCCCTGTCACAAAAGGTGGCCTTCAGAGCAACTCTGTGACTCTCCCAGGGCACTTCACCCTGGGCATGACAGCAGGGTTTTCTCAAATCACTTCTGGGCATTTCACATGCGCATTGCTAACGTGTCCTCCCGTCATCAGCATAGTGCCTGGTGTGTGTTAGGCCATCTCCATCTCGCCACACATCATCCTGTCTCCTTAGCTCAAATCGCCTGAATGGGATTGGGCTGTTTCACGAGGGAGACAGAACGCAGGAGGCTTGCTGAATCCGAGAACTGAAAGGTTCCCCTGTATCCAGCCACACCTCCAATAGCTGTGTCGTTCCATTCCGGCTGTGTTCCTGCCAGTTTGGATCATGACAAACTGCTGTCAGCTCGGCTGTCTGGCTCTCTGTGATACCCTGAGAAAGGAACACCTCTCCCCAAGGACTGTAGAAAATCCTTGGATAAGTCTCCATCTCCCAGAATTCTTTGAGTTCTCATGAACTCTATTTATTATGCTTAAAACCAACCTTTTCTCCCTCAAGCTCCAAAAGCTGAGCTGCCCTGATTAGAGGGTCTCATGCCAGGTTCTACCAAACCTAATGGAAACGGTCAGCATACGAACCTTAAAGACAATCTATTCTCGGGTATTTAGGGTACGTCTACACTGCTGAGCAATTTCAGGATACCGGAACTATCCCGAAATAGCTATTCCACGTCTATTGAAGCAGACTGTTGTTTCGAAATAGATTTCAAAATAATGGACGGCTTATTCCAATGTCCCAGTAACCCTCATTCCACGTGGGTTAACGGGCACTTTGGAAGAGCGAGTTATTTTCAAATTCGGCGCTGTATAGACAGTGCCAAATTACAAAATAAGCTATTTCGAAATACGCTCAAAACAAGCTACACAATTTGCATAGCGCGTAACTTATTTCAAGCTAAGGGACAGACACTCCGTTAGTGTTGGGCATCGAGCCTTTTCTTCAGCGCAATATAAACAGTAACTTTATATTTACATGCGCTTTTCAGCCCATTGAATCCCAAAGCACATTAAGGACTGCGCATGTAACCAGTGGTTGCCAATAAAATCTTTGCTGAGGCTTGCAAAGGCGAAACTAGAGATTTTAACGGGGACCAATGCCCATGCAGAGGAATTCCTCACCCGCCACTGAAGAGCAGCTGTGTCTTAGTAGCCATTTCATCCTAGCCTCTCTTCCTGGCAAATTTCAGAGGTTATCACAGACACACAGGACTCTTGAATAAAGGCTAGCCTTCCAGCATCGTTGCATTCCCACCACTGCAATACACTGATTGTCAGTAGCACTAGGGCAGTCCTTGGAAAATTGCATACCCCGTACTGACCAATCACAGCCTTTCTTAATTAATGAGAACTGACAAAATCACAGTCCTAGGTTGAAAAGCCCCAGGCCCATAACTAGCTTCCCCTCCCCCCCCGCAGAATCTGCCAGACTACTTCTGTGCTCTCCCTGGTACTCATCATTTTCCCTCAGGAGACTCCAACTTCTTTGGTCGTTTTTTTAATACCAAACAAATCAATGTTTCCATTTTCCCGAGAGAGCTGCAGAGGAAGCCTGTGAATACCTGGGGGTCTGGGAGGGAGCCAGGGAGTGAATTTCTTACTAAGGAGAAGCACGTTGCCCAGAGCAGTGCCGAGCTGCCTTGCATTAATGCTGTGTAACTTATTTATGAATCAGGCCTCTGGTATCTGAACAGCTCTAACCTCATTAAATGATGTAATGTTTTAGTGGTTGTAGCTTCAGCAGAATAACTGATGTCCTTTCTGTGTGTGTTTCCCCTTCTGTGCCCTCCCCCTGACCCTTTGTGTGCAACTTCCGGCTCCTCCCCAAACTTTAATTTCTTTTTGATTTGTATTAATAATAATGTTTTCGTTTTTTCATTCATCCCCTTTTCGGTTGGCCTGTCATGTCTGTCCTTTTGCGTTTCTCTTCTTTTATCGGTTCATGCTCTCAACCTGGCTTCCTTCCTCCCCTTTTGCTTTCCTCCTGTCACCCGCCTTCCCTTCTCATCATCTCGTCTGCCGCACATCTGCCACGATGCCTGACAATGACTCTTCTGTGGGGGCTGCTTCAAATATTCTCTCCCATCTTGTCCGAATTGTTTGCAGAGGAGCAAAACACGGTCACCGGGGAGTTACCTGGCAGTATGTAGCTCACACAAAGTTGTCTCCTATTCAGTTGTTAAGCAATGATTTCCCCTCGCTAACCCCTCCCCCCTTGTTTGGGTTACGTTCTGGTGCAGTAAAGATGCAGCTGTCGTCGGTCTCCCATTCAGTTTGTTGCCGTTATTTTGCCCCATAGTTGCATGCTGCACGTTGTGATACAGTGAATGTGTTTGAATTGCTCTGTCGGGTAAAAAATGTCATAAGTGAAAAGAGGCTTGCTGATGAATGAAAAGGTGACGGCCCTCTCAAAGGCTGTGGTATATTGTCTGCCCGTATGTCTTGACGTGAGCTGGAAGTGTCATTTCCTGCCTACCAAAGGCTCATGAAGCTAGCTGTGGCTGAGCTAGCATACGAACCACAGAGACATCTGGCCACAGGAGTGCAGGCCTAGGGTCCCCAGTGGGACTGTAACCTGTCCTGCCACCCTGCACTGCTCTGCTCAGCATGCTAGCTCAGTCAAACCTATCGCACGTTCTGGAAATGACGCCTCACACTCCGCTATCAACATATGGGTGTGTAAGTCCAGCCAATGAGACTGAGCCACCAGGAGAGACTATAACTGTCTGGGTGGTATAGGAAGAGAGACTGTTATAATCCCATTAGTTTCAGGGCTGGATTGCACCTAGAACAACTGCAGACTCAGGCCCTGGGAAGGTTTGTCTCGTGCATACTTAGCTTCTTTTTCAAGTCTTTGCCCCTCCCCGTCGCGTTTCGTGTGCAGCAGCTCCTGGGGGCAGAGGGAGGCTATCAGGTTACTTCATCTTAGGTCTTGAGCTGTGATCTGCCATGGTGTTACCTTGCCCGCTGCCCCTCAGAAAAGAAATCTTCTGGCCCTGAATTAGTATGGGGGCCTGCCATTGGCCCCCGTACCGTGGACAGGAGGCAGCATGGGAGAAGATAGCAGTGGAAACGGAAATGAATAAGGTGTGAATTATATTCTGGTCAGAGATTTGCTCTGTTGCAAGGGTGCGTCTACACAGCAGCATTATTTCGGAGTAACGGCCGCTATTCCGAAATAACAATGCACACGTCTACACAGCCATTCCGTTACTTTGAAATAAATTCGAACTAATGGGCGGCTTATTCCGACTTCCGTAAACTTCATTCCACGAAGAATAACGCCTCTTCCGAAATAGCGGTAATGTGGACTCTCCACTGCTATTTCAAAATAGCCCCTCCTCAGTACCTATTCCCCCGGGGCTCTAAATTGAAGTAGCACTTCCATGTTAGGGAAGCCTGCCTCGGATTAAGGCTATGTCTAGACTGCCGCTCTTTTCTATGCCATGTCCAAGGAACGAGTCCGTTTAAAAAAAAAAAAATTCAGAAAAGCGGGCACACTATTTCGCCATCCCTGTAAACCTCGTTTTATGAAAGGATGTGTCAAAAGAGGAGGTTTTACTGAAGTTTGGTGCCGCATACACACACCAAATTTCAGAAAAGCGTCTTTCGAAATAGAAGCTGAAAATATATGCCAATTGCTGTTAGCAATTTGTGCATCTTTTCCTGACTTTTCTTTGTAGTGTAGCCATCACCTGATTTCGAGGTTTCCCTGGAGTGTAGACGTGCTATTTCAAAATACTATTTTGGAGTATTTTTTCCGGAATAGCGTATTCTGAAATAAGCGTGCAGGGTAGACGTTCCCTTGGTGACTTAAGACAGGTTTGTCTGCTGAGGGCCTGGTAAAAACCACAGCTCTAGTGGGGACAGAGTTCCAGGAGAGGGAGCCAGCACCGTGTTGTCCTCTCTCCAGCACTTTGTCTATACGGGCTGCATAGCCTACCAGTCACCTGTTCGGAGAGCCCGTTGCCTCCTTCCTCTTCCCCCTTACTACTCACTGCTACAAACCTACACCACTGACCAGAGCCACCTGGGCAGCAAGAGCGTAAGCCTTCCAACCAATTCCAGCCCTATACAGGGTGCAGAATACCCCTCCTCAAAGGTTACAGCCAAACCTGGCCTGCTCCCTTAACATTTTGCAACATCACAGCATCATTGAGAGTCCTCTTGGGCAGATCTTAACGCCTGCTGCCCAGTCTGTGCCCTCCTAGTGCTTATATCTCTGTGAGAACCCTGCTCCCAGCAGCACCATGCCCCCTTGTATGTGAGATAAGAGACCCCAACGTGGACACTACCCTCTAGGAAATGAATGGTGTCTTTAGATTGCAAGGAATTCGTAGAACTGCTCCCCTACTAGCCTAACAATGTGCAGATCCCCAGGGGCAGCAGGTACGCAGACTCCAGTGTCAGCCAACGACGGGGCACCACCATTTAAAAACAGAACATCCCCCGCAATGGAAGCTAGAAAGGTTAAAGAGAACAAAGTTAATGCTTTGGTAGAGCGCAGGAGAAGGGAGCATTCTGTCGTGCATGTAACCAAAGGGACAGAGAAATCCCACGTCCGTCTCCATGAGAGTTGAGGCTGCTGTGGGCAGAGGTCTTTTCTCTACCAAGGGCCTTTTGTGTAATCAACAGACACAGCAGGCCCTCTAGAGGATGAGTGCCATGCTGCCACGTCCATAAAGCAGGGCCATGGAACAGCTGGAGATGAGGAAAAGAAGAGAAATCCAGGCTCTTATCACTTTGTGTCCAGACTCAGGGTTTTTTTCGGGAAAAGTAGCCTTTTTCCGAAAAAACTTCACCTGCGTCTAGACTGCAGCCGCGTTCTTTCGAAATTAAATCAAAAGAACGCGGCTTTTCTTTCGACGGCGGTAAACCTCATTGCACGAGGAAGAACGCCTTCTTTCGAAAGTGCTTCTTTCGAAAGAAGGCGTTCTTGAATGTAAATAGGGCTTCTTCGAAAGAGAGCATCCAGACTCACTGGGTGCTTTCTTTCGAAAAAGCGGCTTGCTCTTTCGAAAGTTCCGCGTGCAGTCTAGGCGCTCTCTTTCGAAAGAGGCTCTTTCGAAAGTATCTTTCAAAAGAGTCTCTTTCGAAAGAGGCTTGCAGTCTAGACATAGCCTTATGGAGCTTTGTGTGTGGTCTTTGGACAGGAGGCAGGTCTCACGTTGAACTCGTAGCCATAGAGATAATGCAAGCAAAGACCCTGGCAATTAGAGAAAAACCCAAACTCCTAGCACACAGCTACCCCTCTCAGTGACCCCGGCCCCTGTCCCATGGCATTACTCAGCACATGTCCTACCACCCCAGAAGTCTGCTTTGTGCGGCTGTCCCAGCTTATGGAGCTGTCCTCATCTCACCAGTCTCCCCTTCGGCTGTGTTGCACCTCTGAATCTACATCATGCCAGAGCTGCCTTTTTTCCTGCCACCTCTTAGAAACAGGCAGAAATGTTCTGGAGCTGCTGTTCTTAGAAAGGCAGGGCCAGGGATATAGTGGCATGGCCGTGTGGGTGGGGTGGAGAGTGCAACAAAGTCTGCAGGGGCCATGTCTACACTTACCCCAAGATCGACGCTCCGGAGATCATTCTTCCAGGGTGTGATTTAGCAGGTCTGGTACGGACCCACTAAATCAACCACTGATGGTGCCCCCATGGATCCTGTTATTCCACAGGGTTGTGAGGAATAAGGGAAGTTGATGGGATTGATTCTCCTGTCAACCTCCCACAGTGGGGATACCGGAGAAATTCGATTTAAGGTACGTTGACATCAGCTACACTATTCACATAGCTGGAGTTGCCTATCTTAGGCCAACTTTCTCACATAGTGTAGGTCTGGCCTAAACTACTGGACTGTGAGAAACTGGGACTGGACAACAGAGGAAGGATCACTCAATTATTGCCCTGGTCTGCTCATTCCTTCTGAAGAATCTGGCACCTGTCGAAAAACAGGACATGGTGCTAGATGGACCATTGGTCTACCTAGTATAGACATTCTTGTGTTCTTAAGGAGGCCTGCTCCCATGTTTGAACTCATAAAAAACAAGAGACTTAGCCCAGACCGGAAGTAGCATCTTCTTTTAGTCCCAGTCCTTGGTGGTAGCCACTGGACAGCACGACCTCCTTATTTCTTTGGCATTGCACTGGGAATGCTGTAGTTTCTGGAATTGCACTGGGTGAGACAAACAGTGAATTATCTTTGTGAAAGACTTAGATGTCATGCCTGCCCTGAGATCCTATTTAGTCATTCTTGTTCACCCCTCCCCCCCGAATCTGTGTATGGTGGCTGATGTTAACTGATGTGCATTCCTCTATGGATACAATAATTGTGTTGTCACAGAATTCACAATATAGCCCAATTCAGGTATCGCCGATTACATTTGTTCCACAAATTTAGCACTAACTATTTGATTATGCGACTGCTTCTGACCTTCCCCGTTCTGTTTGATTAACCTTTTCTCTCCTTCCCCCCACCCCTGCAAAATTCTCCCTCGCTAGAAGACACTCAATTAATTGCACTGTGGTCTCTGTCCTCTCCCACCCACTCCCCATTTCCTCCTTGTGCTTTGCAGCCCATTCCAGACACCAGCCCCATGAAGCGCTCCATCTCCACGCTGACCCCACAGCGCCCGCATCCCATGCACCTGTACGAATATTCCCTGGAGCGCATGCCCCCGGACCACACTCATCACCACCATCACCATCGCTGCCATCGACGGAAAGACAAGAAGCAGAAGTCGCTGGACAAGCCGCCCAACCAGCTGGCTGACGGAGATGCTGGTAAAAAGCCTTTTCCACGTTGTCTTCTCTCATTTGCACCACGGAACTGTGAAGATGGCTCCTCCCAAACTGCCAGTCTTCATGCCTCAGGGGTGGGGATGGGGACTTAAGAGAGAACATGGAGCCCCTGCTCATTTAGATCCCATGGGGCCTTTCCCCAAGGCAGGCCCTTCATGGAGGCTTCCCCGCCCTATGGGTAATGGTGCCCAATAAGAAGCTGACCCTATGGGTGTATGAGGGTCTCATTTGAGAGGATTCACATGGGGCTCCTGGAGTTCTTGAACTCGTTCAGCCCAAAGTTGAATGTTTCTACGGTAGTTGAAGCCCCAACTAAATACTTTACTTTGGTGGCACGTCCAGGCGAGGCTTCTTCCAAGGATAAGAAGCAAGAACGAGGCAGGTCACAAGAGAGAAAGCTGCACTCCTCCTCGTCCTCTGAAAAACAGCGCTTCTACTCCTGCGACCGCTACGGGAGCCGGGACCGTTCTCAACCCAAGTCAGCTGATCACAGCAGGCCCACCTCGCCCAATGGGGGCCTGGAGCCAGGTCCCCACAGACAGGTGAGGAGATTCAAGGGGGCAGGAGGCCTGAAAAGAGCAATAGGTGCACCCAGATTAAAAAGAAAAAACAAACAAACAAACAATAAGGGTTAGGACTGTCTGGGCAACAGGAGACGGAGCTTGTTTCAGATCCAGGCCGGTGACTCAGGGTTGTTGCCATTTGATGGCTCTTTGGAGGCTTTGTACAAGATGAGTTATGCCCTTCAAGATGAGTTTAAGATCTCAACTCAGCTGAGACTCTGCCTACGCCGGTCACTGTGCTGTGTAGCTGCATGTCACAGTGAAAGCCTCCGGCAGAAGGATACAACCCTGTTGCCGAGGAGGGAGGTGTTGCTCGGGTGTGTAGAGAACTGTGTATTTGGGGGTTCAGGCCTTTAGGAGACTGTACTCATCTCAGCTGTTCCTCAGCTGTCTTCACTGCTGCATATCCCCATGCTAGCTGGGCATGTCATGTCTGAACACTACACACGGCCATCACTGTAGATGTACCATAAAACCACAGTTAGGAGGGACTGCAAGGGTCATCTAGTCTAACCCCCTGCCAAGATGCAGCATTTGTTGTGTCTGACCCATCTGAGACAGACGACTAGCCAGCCTCCTTTTGAAAACCTCCAGTGAAGGCGCTTCCACAACCTCCCTGGCGGTCTGTGCTGTGAATCTACTGTTCTTCCAGGTCGAAGGTTTTTCCTGAGATTCAATCTAACTCTGCTTTGCTGGAGTTTGATTCACCTCTTGTCTTGCCCTCTGTGGCAAGAGAGAACAACTTTTCTCCACCTTTTTTCATGGCAGCCTTTCTAGTATTTGAATACCACTGTCATGTCCCCCCTTCATCTCCTCTTTCCAAACTAAACAGACCCACTTTCGTCGGCCTTTGCTCAGGGAGCTGTGTTCCATCCCTTTGACCACCTTTATCACTTGCCTCTGGAACCTTTCCAGTTTCTCCACGTCCTTGCTATATATTGGTGACCAATGATGAACACAGTACTCCAGCTGAGGCCTAATCAGTGCCCAGTTGAGCGGTACTGTCCCCTCCTACGACTTGCATGCTGCACCTCTGTTAATGCAACCTAACATTGCATTTCTTTTGCAGCAGAATTGCATTGCTGACTCATCCTGAGTTTGGGATCCGCCCCAATTCCCCGATCCTTCTCAGCAGTGCTGTCACCAAGCCAGTTATTTCCCATTCTCCCTTTGTGGTTTTTCTTCCCTGGTTACCTCCACACTGCGGCGCTATTTTGGGACACTTCTGGTCTTTGAAACAAGCCCATTATTTCAAAATATAATGGGTTGGCTATTCCGACGTGCCTGTAAACCTCGTTCCACGAGGGTTAAGGGATATTCTGGAATAGCTCTTTATTTCAAAACTAGCTGGACTTACCCAGTGTTGCCCGGGAAACTGGAGGAACAAAATTTAGAAAAATAGAAGCTGGTCCTGACAGCCTCCAGCCACACCGCGACTGCCAGTGCCTACAGTGGCTGAGATTTTGAATTTGTCCAAACTCTGCTTTGAAAATCTAAGTGAAACATGTCCAGCCAGTCACTTGCTCATTTCTTTTAAAGCACAAATTAGTTCAAATTAGACATACGCTGAGCTCCTTCATGTTTTTTACCTGATTGTTTTAATTAAAATTCAAGATTCCCAAGCCACAAAAAAGGGTCTAAATCCCCCATAATGCCATAGGAACTGATACCCCAGAGACAACAGTATTGTTGATCTGTGAACCTGTTAAAACAGGCTCTATCACCTAATCTCTCTTTAGCTTTTAAAATTGAGCACCAACTAGGGATGTAAAATACAGTTTAACCAGTTAATTGATTAAATGCTATGTTTAACCAGTTAACTGCTTAACTGGGATCCTGCTGGTGGGGTCCACTGCAGCCTGGATGGCCCACCGATTAACCAGTTACCAGTAATCATCACTCGATAAGGGTGATATTTACTGGTTAACCAGTTATATCCCTAGCGCCAACCAGAAACAATATTACAAGAGGAATAAATAGCGGGGATAACACCAATTATATAATATTAAGATGGCACCTCAGAGGGTGGTGCTGTATTGTCTTAATTTTTACTACAGGTTACCACATGCTGCTCTCAATTGCTACAGTGAAGTCACTGGGTCTAATCATAGTAATAAATCCTGCACCTTGTAGTATATGTCCACAGGATCAGGCTCTTGGAAGCAGACACACATGGGGAAAAGAGTAGGGGGAGGAGGGAGTGTCTCTCCTCTGCGCACCCTAGGTGGTGTCATTACATGGCATCATCTTGTTTAATCAGAGTGTCATTGTTACACTTTATATTATGGTCCCATTTAGAATTGATTTATAAAAAGTTAATACATCACGACACTGTGGCGCTATTTCGGGATATATCTGGGATCCCGAAATAGCTATTCTGCATCTTGACAGCCCTCCCGTTATTTCAAAATATCTTTCGAAATAATGGGTGGGCTATTCCGACGTGCCTGTAAACCTCGTTCCACGAGGGTTAAGGGATGTTTCGGAATAGTGCTCTGTTTCGAAATACACTCCAAATACGCTATGCAATGTGCGTTGCTCAGATTGCGTAGCTTATTGCCAGCTACGGGTGCAGTGTAGACACACCCTCAGTGCACTAGGGGTGCTGAAAGCCAGCCCCCTACCCTTCTCCACCCTTCCCCAGCAGGGATTAGGTGCAGGGACAGGACAGCAGAGCCACAGGGCTACCAAGAGCCATGGGATGAATCATTTTATGAAGTAGAGGAATATGAACTGCCCTGGTAAAAATCGATAAAAGAACGAACAGCCTAGAGAAGAAAGAGCGAGATTAAAAGCACAGGGGGAGGGAGAGCCCCCAAATCACCATGGCGTGTTTCCCCACCAGTGCGGGAAGCCTACGGAGGCCCCTCTTCAATAGTGCCATGTTTTGCTTCTTATCAGATGGTATTTTTGCTAATTATCCTTGTAGAAGCTAATGGGTTTTTGGTAGGGAAGTAGGGGAGAGGCATGCTGGGTCTGCAAATTCTCATCCAAGAGCTGAGTACAGGGATGCCTCAATCCATGGGGCTGGCCCTACTGCATCTGAGAGATTTCAGGGTGACACCTCAAACTCTTCTCCCATCTTTTTTGATGAAACTATGAGTCAACTACCTGAGCCTGCTGGCACCTCTATAGCCCCTCCTCCAGCACCACCCCCTTGACCAGCTGCCCCTTCCATGGACTGCATCTCTCACCCTCCCCAGGATCATCCAGTATCAAACCCAGGACCAGTGCCCAGAT